ACATTTTTTTTAACTTGATACTTCTTAATATTTAATAATGATTAAAAAAAAAGTGCTGCAGCAGTTCAGGTTAGAGTTTAACTCATATTTTCAGCAATGTAATTTCAAACAGAATATCCAGAAAGAAGAATATTGTTAAATGTAAAAAATAGTGCTGTCTCGGTTGCTTGCATAAAGTCAAAACTGCAGGTGTGGGCTGCAATCAAATTCAAGATGGATTCATGGCCATAAAATAACGTTAACATGGTTTGAATGTTTTAAAAGTAAAGTAAATTTTTCTGCACTACCAGTATCACCAAAAGTATTTGCGAAAATAATAAATGTTTTCAAACAGGTTGCCTTCAAACAAAAATGACACCAGCTTAAAGACATAACGGCAAATGTTTCCACATCTATAGTAGTGGCCAAAAGTGATGACCAGATATTTGTTCTAGTGACCCAACAAGTTCGACTAAACCATCAAAATAGAGGAAAATATTTTATATCTTAAATATGAGGGAAGAACAAAGCACTAAACTTGGTTAAGGTATTTAGCTGACAAAATCATTTCGCAAAAAAAGCACAAATTTTATTTTACTATGCATTATTTCGATAGTTCTCTCTTGTTGTTGCATGCATTCATAATTTTTTCTGGATGTCAGCCTGGCCAAAAATAATGTCTGCAAATTTGGGTGATCATTTGTTAAATGGGATTTAACGATTCAGTTCTGTTTTGTGCATAAACCAACAGCAGTTTTGTACAACTTGCTCAGTAATTAATGACAGACATGATTGAGCTTTCAATGTGCTGAAATCTGAAAACAGTAACCCTTCAATCTGTCAGAGCACGATGAATCACATCACACACATGCAGGCAAGAGAACACAGCCAGAGTGTGGATGAGTAATAAGACTGAATAATAATGTGCATGCGATTGGTCACCTTTCTCCTGCCCTCATCCTTCCTGTCGAATGCACACTGCTGCTTGCACTGTTCGCAGGTCTGTGGCGGGCCGTACTTCTTCTCAGAGTTGGTGCAGCGCTGACATTTGGTCCCAATGAATGCAGCAATGATGTTACAGTACTGACATGGCTTCGGCTGATAAAAGAGGAAAAGATGTGTGTTAGACAGTGCATTCATCTGCGGGATTTCCAGTAATTTAAACATATATACTCTCAACATGAACTTACCGTTCCAAACTGTTTGACATTCTGTGCACATTTCTTACAGATAGTGTTGGTTTTGCTGAGAAAAAGGAAAGATCTTCCATTAGCGCAGATAGGATGATACATGTTTAGCAGACACTGTGGCTGGTGAGCAAAGACTTAGTTTCCCACCCTGATTGTCTATATGAGAGTCTCACCTCTCCTGCTGAAACTCTGACCTGCAGAAGGTGCATTTTACTATAGGGTGCGCGATCCGACACTCCTGGGAGGAAAAAACAACCAATGATAGTGTAAACTTAAAATGTGCTTTAATATAGGTGTAAATAGGCCACATAAAAAACTAACAATGGCAGGGCAGTGTTGTATAGTATATGATTCATGTTACAATTTGATATACTGTATGACTGCATCTTTAGGCGTTTTCACACTTGGTACTTTTCAGGGGTCTGAGCATGGATCGATGGATTTTTGGCCCATATGCGAAATACTCCAAACAATATCATCCCTTTTAAAGCGAACCAAACAGGCATCATTTGGACACTTTAATTTGATCATCAAATGTCTCCATAAAAATCTGCTATTCATCAGGGCTGCTTCTGCTGACAGATCTCTCCAAATTATTAATTCCCAAAATACACTTGTCTAGGTCGTTCTTATTCCAATCGCTTCCAAATTCTGTGAGAAAGACGCAGCTGTGAGAACGTCTTGTTTATGTCTTATATTATTATTAAAATACTGTATGTAATAAATAACATGTATGTTCAATAATGTATGGAGTAAATACTTGCTAGTTTTCATAATGCCTGATTTCCCCAGTAGATTTATTTAAGTACATTACTGGTTATGTACTTTTTTAAATATTTAGAATGAATGCAATCACTAGTACATTACTGGTTATGTACTTTTTTAAATATTTAGAATGAATGCAATCACTGACAGTAGCCTACTATTTTAAATTGAAAAAAAAAAAGCATACACATATTGCATCAATACTAGACATTAGGACAATTGTTAAATTGTAAAAACAATTATAATCATTTAAAACGTTTAAAATGTATACTATGAAATCTGTGATCTTGTGCCGCCATCTGTTTCTAACACATTTATGCATTATTAGCAAAGTAGAATCATGAATATTTCTGTGCTGATCACTATTGCCTTATGCCATAAATAAACACGATTTAAAGAAAACAACTCAAAATAAACTTGATGTAGCCTATACAGGTGGACGTGTGATAGAGCAATAATATGGATTAGTACTGCAACAAAATTTATATTTTTGTGCCAAAGATGTGTTTTTATATTATGTTCAAAGTAAAACTAACTCAACAGAATTTGTAGAAATGTTGTTTGACAAATTAATAAATAAAAATAAATAAAAACTGGGTGTCACAATGTAAGTGAATTTAATAAAATGTTAGGGTAAAGTGTATAGGGTCAGGCATCGCGCATTAAATGTGACTATATCCAAAAAGCAACAGTAAGAACACAAAGAGGTTTGAGACCCCATTACTACTTAAGTGGACCAAAAAAGAATCCGAGTCGTAGAACTGTTTTCCCCCCACTTGGTTCATCGTTTGGTCCACTTCAAGAGGTTTGAGTTCAGTTGTTCTATTAAAGAGGACTCAAGTGTGAAAACATAATTGAAACATAAATAGGTTAGGACATCAGTGGTGTTTTAGCTGAAACAATGTCTGGATGCATCTGCCGTTCACAATTAACACTTAAATAACTCTCTGACCAAACACAGACACACATTTTTCCCGAGACTGTTGAAGCGCATGTAAACAGTACGTGCATGTGTACTCTCACCTTGCAGAGCTGCTGGCCCTGCGACAACTCCTCGAACGGGAACCGCTGGTTACACTTGGTGCAGGCGTACAGGGCCGATGTGGCCATCACCAACCCCACAAACACACAATTGCCGCTACTGTTAAAATATAACTACACTTACGCGAGGACGACCTTTAACATATGAGACGAGGTAAGACCTGAGAAGATTCAATCCCAATTAAAACGGCAACTAATCCCGATACATAAAATGGATCCAACCATTTAAAACTGCTCTACGAATACTACTATAAAAACATCAGTGGCTTATAACCTACTCATGACTAAGAACTAAATATAAACTAAAATATGGTCATACATAAAAAGAATAACTAAAACCCTGATTTCATAGCTCGGTATTTCGGCTCCTAGCGATAATTTTTGCTTTCTCCTTTTTGTATCTCCGTCGACGCACGAACCGGATGCGACCTGTGACTACAAAGGAAAGATTCAACAGCCAATCGGGAGCCTGTGCCAATGGGCGGGAAGAGTGGTTTTAAAATATTAGCACCAATCAAATACCTCGTCCCACCCCTTTAAAGAACCACGCAATGTTTTTTGTGACGTGTTAGTGATGTAAAAATATCACCCTTTCTTATACAGTAAGAGTGAAAAAAAGTCAACAATTTCTGATGAAAATATTCGGATCTGATTTTGACACTAAATGCTCCTTTTGTCAGAATGACACTGAAACTCTTCTTCATTTGTTTTAGTCGTGACACTACTTTTCAGCTCTGGAGAGATGTTAATCTGTTTATCTCAAGGTTTTTCAATGAATCCTACATCTGTTATTTTTGGATTTTGTTTGAAGCGGATCCAAAATGCTTTATAATAAACCTAATTCTCTTTCTATGTAGATTTTATATTCATAAATGTAAATTTTCGAATAGTAAACCTATTTTTTTAATATTCTTACAAAACATTATTTAGGCCTACTTTCAATTTAACTCTCGCTTAAAAAAGCTCTCAGAACATGTACAATTTGCACGGCCTACAAACTTTTTTTTACTGTATTCAATGTGTAATCTTTTATTAATTTGTGTAATGCCCTCCTCTTTACTTTTCTTTTTTTCCTTTTTCTTTTTTTTTTTTGGTTTCTGTCTTTTTCTGCTTTGAGCTATTGTTTGTTAATGTTTTCTTTATTCTCTCTATTAGTGTTGTTCTTAATTATTGTTATGTTCTAATTTTCTCTAATCTCTAATGTTCATAAACTGAATGTTCAAATAAAGCATTTTTAAAAAGTGAAACAGGAAAGAATACTTTAAAATTGTCTCAGACAGAAAAATTTAGTAACAGAACGGTGTATATTAGAAGCAATACATCCCCCTTCAGGAATAGAGAGAACCCAATTGTATTATAAAAAATAATTATAATAATTGTTTAATTTATTGGAATTACAGTAAGGGCATTTAAGGAATATTTAATATGATCATTAGGGATTTCCAGAAGATTAATCTAAATTGTATAGCTGTAGAGAGCACATAAACAAGAAAAATAGAAGGATTTTAGCAGACAGTCAGATTCCAATAAAAATTAACAAAAATGTTACAGAAACCCTAACATTATTATATTCACTTATTTAATCTGAACTATTTTTAACCACAATGTTCACGACACAAGTATTGCGTTTTGCTATGTTCTGCTCATTGTGCATTAGTATGCAGTTTACTGAAACTTTTAGGCTCATATTACTGACATGGAAACTATTTGTGATAGATATAGATTTAAAGATATCGATATAGATTTAAATATATAGATATTTCAACTAAAGATATAAACTTTATACACACACAAACAAAAGAACCAAATACAAAATACTAAAGATTACATGCACATGAAACTCTTTAAACGTCATGAAGTCCATGTAAATGTAATCTTTAGTAGGTTATTTTGTATTTGGTTCTTATGTGTTTTTTTTCTACACTCTTTTCCCCATGTGAATAAAACCTTTATTATCTATAATGGTTCAGCGCGTCACTCGACGCAAAATAAACGCGACTGGCGTTTTATTATAACGCACAATTCTGTGCGCCAGATAAAAAGATGGCGGATCACTCGGTAAGTAATGGATAGACGGTTGGTTTTTATGTTGTCTTATTCGCGATTTAAATAACATTTGTCATGTCTTTGTTGGTCAATGTGATTAATAATTGCGTTATGTCATCATAGGGTGAGATCACTGAGGGCTGTCGACTGCCTGTGCTGCGAAAAAATCAAGAAAATGAAGACGAATGGCGTAAGTATCCGCCTGACAGCTGCGGATAGAATGTAAACACAACATTTGTCACAAGCGCAAAACTAGCTACACGTAAATAGCAGTATAAGTATATTTGAGGATATAACTGCTTGCTTGTCCAAAAGTAATTGATCATTTTGTCTCTTAATAGCTTTGGCTGAAATTCTCAGTGTTAAAGACATCCCAGGGAGAAAGCTTTACTATGTCCACTATATTGACTGTGAGTATTAACTATCAGCCGGACTAAATACTTTGGTTATTTACCTAATTTCTTTCCTCCAGTGTCAATATTTATATAATGCATGATTCCATTTATTTAGCCATTAATTGAAAAGAAAAAACTCAACTAAATTTGTTGTTGTTAGTCAATAAGCGCTTGGACGAGTGGGTTACTCCAGACCGACTGGACATGAAAAAGCTCCAGTTTCCCAAGAAGGAGGCGAAGACTCCCTTGAAAAATGGCCTGCCTGGGTCTCGGCCGAGCTCCCCAGAAAGAGATGTGGTAAGAGAATCTACTCTGTACCCAGTGACACTAAATGTAGAAACAAAACTCCCCCACATCAATGATAAAAAGATCTAACATTCACAGTTTTTGTTCAAATTTGCATGCTTTTCAGTCCATTTACCATCTTGTTACTTTCTGTTTAAATTTAGAAGAAGAGTCTAGATCTCCACGGTCAGTCTGCTTCAGCTCCTTCAAGAGGAAAAACCCTCCCCACACCGGTACAGACGAACTCTACCCATTGTATTTTACTCATCAATCTGTCCTACAAGAGTTTACGGCGAATGGGCTGAATTAAAGACTAGTTTGAATAAACTCATTATACAATTTCCAAACAGTGCGAGGGAAGCAGTGTTTGCCTCATCTCAATTTCAACTGCAGATTCCAGAACCTTTTGTGTGACATCTAATTTAAAGATATTTATCCCACAATAATGGTTGCATTGTTAAAGGGATTACATGAGATTGAAACTTTGCACATTTAAGATAGTCGATACGTTGTTAATATTTGTTGCACAGGGAATCAAAGGGATAGTTCACCCATTTTACAAGTTTGGAATGACATGAGGGTGAGTAATTAATGACATAATTTTCATTTTTGGGTGAACTATTGAATTAATAATAAGATGTTTCATTAATTCTAAAGCAAATCTATTAATTTTGCAATCTTTATGTAAAAGCTCTAAATGCATCCAGACCCCATTAGTCATTCTCATTACTTATTACTCCTTAGTTATTTTCATGAGGTAAGTGGCAGGTATTTACTCATGGTTATGTTTTTATATATGATGGATTTTAGTGCCTTTTAATGATTAAAAAGTAACACTCGTTTCTGTTTGATCTTACAGAAAAGGAAAGCAGAGTCAGTCTCTTTGGCAACACAAGTGACCGCAGCGACCCCAGTGCCTTCACTTCCTGGTTCTGCAGAGGCGAGTCAGGCCTCTGTATATCCAACAATTAGAGATTCCCCTTTCAGCATTAAATCCAGAGAGGAGCATGAACCACTCACTTCTCTAACCACAGTAAGAAATTAATTTAAGACCAGTCTGTCTCTTCTTGCATAACACCAATAATAATCCTTATTATTTTGTAAGTATAAAGTATTTAATTTAATATTATTTAACAATAAAACCTTTCTTTATTTCCTCTGCTTCTTCCACCTGGAAGAATGGCACAATGTCCATTCAGCGTCATCTCATTCCTCCTCTGCCTGGGAGAAAAAGAAAAAATTGTGGAGGGACAGATGAGGTAAGTCCTGCAACCTAAAATATACATCATACATTTCATTGTTATTTGGCAAGAACATGATGCTGTAAAATGTTATGAATTAGAAATGTGTTTTAGGGCAGTTCACATTTCCTTTATTTCTCATGAAGGAACTTTGTTTATTATGTTAAACAAATTCTGTGCTATGCAAAGTTTTACTTTAAAAACCAACTCTGACTACCAATGAGATAGCAAGTCTGTACCTGATTTTAAATCAAAACCAAATCCATCAAATGTGTTCCAATTAAATATAACTCTTTCTGCTCCATCAACTACCCTACTCATCTAAAGTGTCCTAAAACATTGCAACCCCTCGTGTTTTTCTAGATGGTAAAGGTGTTCCAGAATAACAGTCCCCGCTGCTCCACCGTCTATTTGCTGCCAGGAGAGGTCCGGCTCATTTACTTCCCATTGCTTTGTTGAGTGTCTTGGCAGAATGGAGGCTTAAATGAGAATTCCGGTATTTAGCACTTTGAGTCTATTTTCTAGTTTGTTTTGGATGAATTAGAGTGGTGGACACATTTTTACGATGGGTCCTGTCTCGACTTTTGACTCTTTTAGAATCGCCTTTGACCGATTCAGAGTGGCTTCACTATAGCAAATAACACGGATTGAAATCATACATTGCGCCGACATATTTGTTTTTAATCATCAACGAACACCACTAACCACTTGGTGAGTCGCACAGTTTTGAAAACGAACGTTAAGGGTTGTTTCAAGGACATGTTTGTGCATGCCAGTAGACAGCCACTCTGAAGCGGTCAAAGGCGATTCTAAAAGAGTCAAAAAGTTGAGACAGGACCCATCGTCAAAATTTCTGTGTCCACCACTCTAGTTAATCCAAAACAAACTAGAAAATAGACTCAAAGTGCTAAATACCGAAATTCTCCTTTAAGGCTGTTAAAGAATCACAGTTTCTTGATAGAATGGATTCTGTAAATGCAGTATATATATTTATCAATATATATGTACATGTATAAGGAAATCGGGCAAATGTGACATTAATAACAATGAAAAACAAAAGAGTTTACATGAAACCCACAAACATTTTTGAATATGAAAGACATAATTTTTTTCATGTTATCGATGTTTCATACAATTCTCCCTAACACTACTCTCTGATCTCAGGACTCTCAGGACAGTTCAGATGGAATCCCATCTGCCCCGCGCATGACCGGTAGTTTGGTGTCTGACCGCAGTCATGATGACATTGTGACACGAATGAAGAACATAAACTGTATAGAGCTGGGCCGGCACAGGCTGAAGCCTTGGTACTTCTCCCCATACTCACAGGAGCTCACCTCTCTGCCCATTCTCTACCTCTGTGAATTCTGTCTCAAATACCTCAAGAGCCTCAAATGTCTTCAAAGACACCTGGTAAGAGTAGTTTCAAGACTTAAGCTTAAGGTGCGGTCACATTGGCGAAATTTCATGGACAATAAAAAGTCTATTGTTAGTAGCTCACACTTTCAAACCAAGCAGCTTTTCTGTTGAACATTTCCGGCCTTATGTAAAACTCTAAATAGCATGGAGGATTCCTATTGAAATGACCCACTAAATTTAGCTGGACATTAATAATTATGACCACATCTTTAAATAGCTGTTATTGTATAGTTTCACATACCTTTTGTAGAATTTGCACTACATTTAATATACAATTACTCCCCCTGTAACCTTTACAGACAAAATGCAACCTTCGGCATCCTCCAGGAAATGAGATCTACCGCAAAGGAACCATCTCCTTTTTTGAAATAGATGGCAGGAAAAACAAGGTGTGTAATAAGACTCGGATGATCCTCCCCCCTCCCCTTCCACTAATAATGTCCTGTGCACTGTTGCAGTATGTACTGTACATCTATGTGGTCTCTTGATGGTCTTTTAAATCTGTAATTCTTTTTTTTTTTTTGCTGCACAGGCATATTCCCAAAATTTGTGTCTATTGGCCAAATGCTTCCTGGACCACAAGACCCTGTACTACGACACGGATCCTTTCCTCTTCTATGTTATGACGGAGTATGACTCAAAGGGTTTCCATATAGTTGGCTACTTCTCAAAGGTATATTCCATCTGTGGTTTTTTTAATCCTTCAAACATTAGCTTGTGCTATCTTTATTTAGAATGAATGCCTCTTGTTTTGATATTGTCTAATATAAGGTGTTCAAATACTTTGAGGCCACTGTATTTAAAGTGACCATGAAATCAATATGGATTGATTGTTTTTTATGGAATTTTGCAGAATGTAATATAAATGATTTATCTGGCACATCATTATTTATTTTTAAATGAATGTGCCCTCTTTAATCAAAATAACTTTCCATGAGTTGCAATGACATCTCTCCTCTTCTCTGGTGATTTGTTTACTGGTGTGAGGGTGGGACAATCTGTCATTAACATGACATCACAGCACAGCACAGCAATAGCTAACCACATTCCAGATGGACAAAATCAAGTCTCTGCCTACATTTTGTCTTGTTCGAGAAGCTTTTTCATATATGCGACATACGTATATCGAATATACGTCACAATAAGGAAGAAAAGACTTCATGACGTTTCATGACGACTTTAATGTCTTTTTTCCTCTTATTAAAGGAGAAAGAATCAACAGAAGACTATAATGTAGCCTGTATTCTGACGTTACCACCTTATCAGAGAAGAGGCTATGGAAAACTACTAATTGAGTTCAGTGAGTAATTTTACACTTCAGGACTAGTCAAATTTGGTTAGTTAGGTAAGATTTTTGCTTAATTTTCCTAAATTTTATTTGTGAAATATAATAAGCCCTAAATCATGTCATGGCCCCTGTTTCACATCTCTGTTTCCAAGGTTATGAGCTCTCAAAGGTGGAAGGAAAGACAGGTACCCCAGAGAAACCTCTGTCTGATTTGGGCCTGCTCTCCTACCGCTCATACTGGTCCCAGACCATTCTGGAGATACTCATGGACCTCAAATCAGAGAATGGAGAACGGCCACAGATCACCATCAAGTGTGTGCCCACTCTTTGTATTGTACTAAACAAATACTTTGAAGGTACAAATTTCTAGCAGTGTTCTCGCTTTTATTGTTCTTAGTGAAATAAGTGAGATCACGAGTGTCAAGAAAGAGGACGTGATATCAACTCTTCAATACCTCAACCTCATAAATTATTATAAGGTAAGAAATCACTTCCAATGAAAAGTAATAATTAGCTATATTCTTTGCAAATTCAGATACTGAAGGGGCCTTTTAGGGTGATTGATTTCGCTCTCTTCCCTTGCAGGGTCAGTATATCCTCACCTTGTCCGAGGACATAGTGGAAGGTCACGAGCGTGCCATGCAGAAACGCCACCTCCGCATTGATCCTAAATGCTTGCATTTTACTCCTAAAGACTGGAGCAAGAGGGGGAAGTGGTGAAGTACAGAGAGAGCAGGGCCACTAGCTCATAGATACAGACACAAAGGAATTCAAACCAACATAAATACTGTAAATAAACTTGTATTTATGTACTTTCATGGTTTTTATAAGTACTTCTCTACAAATATGGAGTCATTTAAAAAATGTAACTGAATGTGATAATGTGTAAATAAACAGTCTGTTTGTACTGTTTGGGGAGCTGATTTTACTTACTTAAACTGGGAACACGGTGCTAATTTATGATGAAACCTTTTAGTGGGTTTTAACACCATGTTTTCTCACATTTGCTTTAGATTAAAAAGCATGTGCTACATGACAAATGGTATAGCAATAAATAAATATATACATATATATATAATTATATATTCCACTTCATCATTCCTAGTGTTAGTCCACTCATTTGCAGGGTCCGCTTCATCAGAATTATCAGCACACGCATTAGATGTGGCAGAGTTTACACCGGATGCCCCTCCAGAAGGAACCCAGCACTGAGAGTTCTGCGACTCACTCACACACATTCCTACGGCCAGTTTGGCATATCCAATCCACCTAACCTGCATGTCTTTGGACTGTGGGGGAAATCCACACTGACTGGGAGATCACACAAACTCCACACAGAAAGGACACGAGTTGAGGCTCGAACTGTGACAAATGTTATAGCAATGTACGACTGGAATGAACATTCGGAATAGAGCCAGCCCCACCTTTCATTCAACAATAAAACAGCAGCTGAAGGAGGACAACAAGTGTACAACGTACACGCTTTAGTCCGACTAAAATCTTATGGCAAAACTTTAAAAAAGTGAAACTAAAAGACGTAGATAATGTGACTGTACACACTTTAATCAAGCCATAATTGACTTTGGTGCTTCGCGCATTATCAGGTGATGCAAATATTCAATTACATGTTGTGTCATGTATACTTTGACAGACTGCAGCCCAACTACACAAACACCCGCTCTAGCTCAATTATAACTGTATGTAAACGTACTAAATCTCTACATGAACAAAACGCATCATTCATTGTCTAGATCCAGATACTGCAGGTGTTTTATTGTTGTGGATTAGCTGTTTCATAGCACCACCAGAGTTTAATTAATTAAGTAACCATTTAATTAGTGTCAACACACTTTATTGGTCAATAATGTTAATGTATAAGCAAATGTTAGATTATAGAGCATATTCTATATCATGCATAACATGATTAGATAGTGTCATCTTTATCAAGCCCAAGAAAGTTAGGAATTTCAAGTAAAGACAGAACCCTGTACATAAAACCCCGAGGCTAGAAAGACTCGCCTAAATTTCCCTCCGCATCAAGAGGATATAGGCAGAATCACAACGCTTTCGTCATGTTCTATTACATACACAGTTCATTCAGTACAAGCCCTAATATGTTTCTAACATGTATTAATGCTTCACTAGTCTTAATAAATGTATTAATATAATACTAGTATCCAACAGTTTTAGTGATTAAAAGCTTCTTCCATCCACCCAGCCAGCCAGCTTGTAGCAGCGAGGTGAATGTTAGTGTGTGAATTTACATCAGTTGTGCATCACTGCAAGTAACATGAGAACCGTGTGACGCTCACGTGGTGTGTGGCGATCTACATTCCTCAAAGCTGTCGAGCACTTATACAAAGGTTTGAACAGGTGTGATGGAGCGCGTAGGAGACCCCGCCCTCTCGGAGGATGACGAGGCCGTACGATTGGCCGCCTCGCGCTGTAGCTCTTCCACCCTCTTCTGAAGCTCTGCCCGTTTTGCTAGCAGCTCTTTGTAGCGCTGATGGACGGGCTCCTAAAATACATTTTTAATCAAACAGTGACTTTCAAGACTCATTATTTAACTAATATAATGTATTTAAATGATACCTAAAATGTCAGATGTTTAGGTGATGGATAATAAAATCCATCTCATTACATCATAGAGTAATATTTATTGACAATCAAAACAAAATAGCTGGGTTTAAAGATGGAAGGATCTAGTCCTGTTAGTTAAAGCTGCAGTCTGTAGCTTTTTTTGGGTTAAAAATTATCCAAAATACATATTTGAGAAAATACATAACCAGCCAGTGTTCAAAACGATCTGCTTGCCGTAGCTCGATTCAAAGCGGTAAGCTTGTAATAATGTTTTTAATTCCAGTGGTACTGGTGGATTTCCGCGGGAGATTCGAGCATGTCTTTGCGTCATTACGTCACATCTCTACACATAAAGAAGAGTCTCAATATAATTAAACGTATCAATTTGATGGCGGATCCAGAAAGGTTCAAACGACAATCACCAGTGACAACAGATTCACCCGCTGTAAAATGCAAAAGACTTCGTTCAGACTTCGGAGTGGCTACAGAAAAAAAGAGACTGCAACCGGACCATGCGAAAACAAGGATACACATCGGAAGGACATTACATACATGTAGTCACGCAATGGTGACGTTGTTAACATTAACAATTTGAGAACAAAGTATAATTTGCACGGTTTTGCGTGATATAAGCGATTGTTGGATTTAATCAGCGTGATTTACTGCAATGTCAGAACCAGAACAAAAGTGGATGTTTCTTGCTAGTTCAGATGACATTTTCCGGTGAAAATTCTTATGTTGGTCATATTTCCAAAAAGAATAATCTGTGATTCTGAATGCCAGTATCCACACCGGCGCGGTGACTGACAGCTGCACACTCTCCTCAAACATTGTGTTCATCCGCGCTATGCCGTGTCGAAGTACAACTCACGTAAAGTTGATAATTCCGCGAATGACTGCAATTGCAGATTTCGAACAGAGATGACGACAAAGAGGAAAAACTGCAGACTGCAGCTTTAAACCAACAGATACTTAGATGTTTTGTAGTGACGGACAACTCTAGTACACACATTATTATCTTTTAAATATCAGAAGATTGTGAGAACACATTCTCTAGCAGAATCAGAGAATGAGCCTAGTCATTTCTGCACCTGCAGATTTATTTAAAAACCATTCACATGTGTGTACCTGTGGTCGCATGCGAGGATTCCAGCGTATGTAGTAGGAGACCCAGAGCTGGAGGTGTCGTATACCGACGGTGGGGAAGAGAACGTGGGAGGGGTAGTGTACGTACAGCGGATTCACAAACTCCTCTAGCTGACTGTTCACAAATGACCATACAGACACTGTGCGCTTCGGGACTTCCTAAACACAAAAAAAGACAGTCCCTTAGACCCACACAGTTATATATGTTTGTTTATCAATAAACACAAATCTCAAAGTTTTGAAATGACCGTTATTGTGTCCAAAACACAGTTCATTTGCTGTAAGTTAAAGATAATAGCATCTACCAGATTATTTCCTGATCTATTAAACATTCATATTCTTATTGTTAAATTACGTACATACAAAGTGTGCAAACATTTATACCTAAGAGTAGGCTCGCTCTCACCTCTTTGAGTCTTTGCTGCTCACTGTTACACAGAAATGTGCCAAAAAGGCAGCTGTAGAGGTGATCCAGTATTGTTATGAGGAAATTCTCATTGAACTCAAAAGCTGCAGGAAACTACAAACACAGAGACACAAATATTTATTACTTATACAGAGACAGATCATAGCAATACACTGAAGACATAGGCAGTTCGGCCAATGGAACTGTGGGGTGTTTTGCACTAACCTGTCTTGTCATCTGCCAGACACAGTCAATGAACTGCAGGAAGATCGGAGAGCGATCTGCATCTGTGTGATTCTTATCACCATGACCTACACGCTACATACACAAAAATAATCATGTACTGTATTCATAATAATAATACACATTTATTTGTATAGCACTTTTCATACATAGAATGCAACTCAAAGTGCATCACATGCATAAAATCAAATAATACAATCACACAATGTAAATATAAAAATATTCGTAAACTACTATAAAGGTTCAGCGTGTAAAATAAAGTAAACTGACAATGTAGTTTGATCTCAACATCGATATAAAAAAAACAATGAGAAAAAATTAGAAGGTAAAATAGAACATAAAACTGACTTACACACAGCTTTGTTATATTACAACTCCATATTGTTATATTGATAAGCAACTTTAAAAAGATGTCTTAACCCGCTTTTAAAAAATATGAATGCTAGTTGCCTCTTTTACTTCATCTGGTAGAGCAAATAATGAGCAAAGTGACTTAAAATAATAACATGGATCTTTTTTGGTTTTGAATGTTATTTCAATATTTGACATTCTGCTGTATTTAATACCTTGCAAAACATTGGGGTCAGTATGATTTTTTGTATATATATATATATATATATATATATTTTTTTTTTTTAACAAAGTCTCTTATGCTCACTAAGGCTGCATGTATTTTGATCAGTAAAACAGTAATATTGTGAAATATTATTAAAATGTATAATAACTCTCTCTACATTTTAAAATGCCATTTATTCCTGTGATGCAAAGCTGAGTTTTCAGCATCATTACTCCAGTCTTCAGTGTCACATGATCCATCAGAAATCATTATAATATGATTTGGAACTCAAGAAACATTTCTTATTATCAATGTTAAAAACAGTTCTGCTGCTTAATATTTTTTGGGGATTTTTTTTTTTTTTTATATTCTTTGATGTATAGAAAGCATTAGAACAGCATTTATTTGAAATAGAAATCATTTGTAACATTTACTGTCACTTTTGATCAATTTAATGTGTCCTTGCTGAAAAAAAGTAGTAATTTATTATATTTTTTAAAATCTTACTGACCCCTTTTGATTTGTAATGCACATATGCAATTTTTTAAAGTTCTACTGAAGTGCCTTGAAAAGCACAGCGTTATTCAATGTTTTGATGTAATTTCCACTGAAACATCAGGGAGGGACATGTTGAATGGCTCATCCTTTTGTTTAAAAAAATAGCCACTAGCATTTGTTTTATGTTGCAGCTTGGCAAATGAAGTTGAATTCTCCATTTAGATATAATTTGGAAAAAAACAGATAATTTTCAGTAATGCTGATGTTCAGTTAGAAAAGCATGTAATATATGCTAGTGCATAACACCAGTGTTATCTCTTCTCTTCATCATTGCTGTTTATAATGCTGAGAATGTCTAATGATATTTGTCATATGATATTTGAAAATGAAACCACTTTATTTAATTGGGAAAGGCTAAATAAAGTTATTCTAGCAACTTTATTTTGACTTAATTTCAGACTTTTCAGTAGTGCAACACATTAA